CAACACCATGAATCTGGTTACTTCTGGTTTTCCATGATGGAGGAGTCCCAGGAAATGGTTGTGATACGAAGGGAGACGCGGCCATGCGACATATGAACAGTTATGTCTTCCGTCTGGTCCGGGAAAGCATCTCCACAGCTTCATGCTGCCCTTTCACCAGATTACACTCTGTATGTCCCAGAAGACAGAACTATATAGGCACCCTGTGGGAGCCCCAGATCCGACGCGTTGACGTGGGGCTACGATCTGATGACGGAAACAGGCTTGAACTCGTTCAGGCAACGCGGTAACTACATGTGTGCTACCTGCTTGAACACTAAAACACCAACAGTACTAACCGGTTGGCATTTGTTATGGAGGCGTCGTGTTTTCTGTGAGGTACGAACTGAATAGTGTTATCTTCATGGCTTTAAAAGGATTAAAGCGGGGCGTTTGCGGAAATGAATAATCGTTTGTAGTCGAGGCAATTAGTTGGACATTCCAACCTGAAGATGGAGGTGGCATGTTTCTCCGAAGTGGTGCCACATTTCCACCTATCACCACTGTGAAAGCCTCGGCTGGTTGTATTTCGTTTATTGAACGTCTTTTGCGTGAAGAATTTCATATGAACTTTGAAGATGGAGGCAGCATGTCCTCCGAACCGTCGGTATGCTCCTGCAAGACCTTCCAGGGTCATCGCAGAAGACCAGAGCGGGAAGTGAATAACGGCTTGGTCCGGCTTTCAGGCCACTCTTAATGAAGGGACCTGTGTCTAGTGGACGCGAGGAAGTTCTGCTGTCCCGCCAGTTCCTCAGTGCTCGAATGCTGCTTCCTGTATGCGCCCGTTTTTAAGCCTTCTGCTGTTAGCATGTTTCCATGGTAACGTAAGCACGCTTAAACTGTAAGAGACGGCGGTGGACTTTCTCTTCCTTACCTGAGGAGCACCAAACGTATAGAACAGGGGCGAGTGTGTAGCATGGAAGGGGTTTAAAATGATTTCAAGTTCAGTCGGTTTGGAGCATGGACCGTCTCGCCAGTCGGGCGGGCACTACAACTGATCAATAACTCGAAGGGATGCATCCCAGTGTGTTCCCTTTCTGTGTTGTGTAGATCTGTCAACAGGTGTGGCTGTTTGATATTCCTGTCTGTGTACGCAGACGATAAACACAGGCTGCCGTCTGGCTCCGAGAAGACGTAGAAGCAGAAGGAAGGGTGGTAACACATCGTAAAGAAATGGGGGGGGGTGAGCTCTACACCGGGGAATATGGGTTATATTCCCATCTAGGCCAATATAACTTTGCCTTTTCCGCAATGTCCAGGCCGTCCCTGAGGCAGACACAGTCCCCCCGTCCAGTGAGTACCGGGGTTAATGTGGCTGGAGTGTGAAGTTGACGAGTCACCTCCATTTAGTTCCGAGGATAAAAATAGTTGGAGCTATGCCACCATTCCTGCATACGTCCTCGTGACGTGGTGGTTAATTAGGCCTTTGCCTTAAAGAAGTGTAATGAGAGGGTGTGATTTGGATTCATGTGGCTCAGGGCACAATGGCGGGTTCTTGTGAACGCTGTCATGAATCCTCGGATTCTATAGAAGTCAGGGAATTTGACTAACTGGGCTACTGTTAGCTTCTCAGTAAGGAATCCACCCGTTTTAAGTTGTGTTTCGTGCACGTACAACTGTTTTTCCAGGTATGTGTCCATGGTAAAGGTAAAAAGACGAAGCTAATCTGTAACAGGGTGTGCAAGCCCATAGGGTTATGAGACGTCGAGGCTTTCACGTTTTGTAGACAATCGGCTCACATGTGGCCGTGAGGTTGTCAACCTTACGGGCCGGTACGACCTTTCTTTTTGTGCTTTCATTGGGGCTAATTTGTGGGCACTGTGACGCAGTCGAAACTGCAGCTGTGTGCGTGTCCTTTTTAAATTGTGGTTCATAGGCGTTTTGTGACGTGAGCTGAAAAATAAATAGCAATAGAAATTCGTATAATGCCGATATAAATTCACAGAACGATAGCCTCGGACGTTACCTTCCCACGGCGACCTGGCGCGCCACGTATTATCAGTTGGCTGCGAGTTAAGGTTATACTCGGTATTTATCGCGGTTGTGGAAATGAAGGGAGAAGTTTCCCTGCAGGGATCGAACTCACGCTAACAAGCGCGCACTAGCTTGGGGTTGCCCGAGGGTGAAAGCAAGAGACCACCCCCTTAAACACGATATGCGCATGTGCGACTCCAACGGATAGGGAGGTAATCCTGTGTAGTTGGTGATGAACTCGATGGTTCAACTCCGCTAATAGCAAAGCCAACCAGTGGACGCAATCCAGAACCAGTTTCATACATAATACTAAATTGCAGCATTCTGTTGCACTGCGGAGATTTGATTTTGCCAGTTGGGCCGCAAACATGTAGTGACAATAAAGGAGAAAACGAGAGAGAATATTAACCGACGTTGCGTGTAGACGGCAAAGGAGCAGAACGCAAATTCACTTTTATTCAGCTCTAACTTCTTTTTTCCGTCGCCCGCATTGGCCAAAATTCTGCGTGCATTTCGTGTTTACTTTATCCAACCTATATGGCCAGCCGTCACAGCACATATTTCGCTGTGCAGAGCACACTGCGCGGCACTTGTATAAATCACAAATCTCCTGATTATGCAGTGTCTTTAAATTGCTCGCCTTCATCGTCTTTAGTGCAGATATTCGTACTTCCCCTCGGGGAGTAAGGGACTGCGTGTCAGAACCCCACAGAGTAGCTAAGGAAGCTGCTTTGAAGGCAGAACTCATACGGCGTATCCATCCCAAGGTTTGTTCTGATTGCTCATTATTCTGTTGCCAGGTAACATTTGTAAACATTTTCGACGGATTTATTGTCACATTCCATTAGTAATGTGTCCGGCATGTATAGGGGCGTTATGGTGTTCACGTCATCCTTCTGGTGCTGCTAAGTACGCTGTCTTGAGCGTCTCTGGTGACGTCATACCGCGAGGACGCAACCCTAGGGAGAAGAACGCCTATGGAGCTCGTGTGGGTGTTTGTTTATAGGTTACAGAATTTAATTCCAGCCTTCCCGAAATCTGCGGCATACAGAATTTATATAAGTAAATACAGTAAACCCTCGCTAATCCGGAGTAACCGTGGGAAGTCATCCGGATAAGTGAAGCAAAGGGTAGCCCTCAAAGACACAAGTAACTTAGAACACAGATAAATGGAAAACTTAATGATATAAGTAGTGCTGATGAAAACCAATACAAATATCGCTGTAAAGCCTTTATTTAAAAACTATAAAAAGGTAAAACATTTATATTATACTTGTCTTTGAACGTAATAATGCAGGTTTGAAGAAACCCAAGTTTTTTGTCTGAACAGAGAAGAGACTCATCTGCTTTCCTAAATGTCATGTCTTTAAAGTATGCCCTCAGCTGTGAACAGTTTTTTTTCGATCCGGATTAACTGTAACTGGATTAGCGAGGGTCTACTGTAATGTTGATGTTGCTGCTAATGATGCTGATGTACTCTCAAGTGACGTTTTAAAGGGAGCATGACTTGCAGCAAATGACGTCGACCAGTAAGCAAATGGCTGCTGGTCTGTGACAGACGCTATGTACAATGCGTTAGCAACGAAAACTGGGGCAATGTGCCTGTGAGCACGTTAACAACTTGAGAGCCACCGAAATAGGTTATCTACAAGTTCTGCTGAGGCTCCCCGCACGTTCCAGTTTCGATCAAAGAAGAACGGACACTTTACATTAAGGCCTGTATGCGGTTCTGTCCATAACTGGGCTAAATATTTTGAGGAGCTGTAAATGTTCGGTAAGAAAATTGCAGAGAAAATGAAACATTTTGTGACCACAACACCACAAGTTTTGTGGTTTAAAGTGAGTGACAGCATCAGAAATGTTACGTTGCGCGTACATTTTCTGATTTGTGCTGTGATTGAGTGTAGAAACTGTGGGCTGTAAAAGTAATTATCTTGTTTTACAGTCCAGTTTTGAGGCCATTTTACATACAGTATGTAATGAATTCTAAACTTCTCTGCGTCTTGCGGCCTTCAGAAGCGGGGAATTACCCAAACAAATTTAGCCGCGTCAGCAAGCTTCTCTGCGCGGTTTGTTTTCCTTGCTAAACGTCAAACACGTTGAATTCCTCGTCCCAAACGTCACATTCTGCACGACGCCTGGCGTACCCTTAAGTTGTATTTCTGTAAATTGTGCGGATGGAAGATGAGGTTGTCACGACTATGACTGTTTTGTGTGTGGGACATTGTGACGGTGCATCTTCATGAGTTAGTGACGTAGTTTGTTACGTCATCATTCGAAGTTAGTGGATTTATTTTCGGCCTAGGATCATGAGCGAAATCACCAAACCCGAGATATTGCTGAACACGGCGGACTTCCCTTTAGTAAGGTTGCTGGCTTGAGCTGGGTTTATGGCGATTTGCCGTCGTCAGGGATGTGATCTCGTGTAGCCTGGTATGCCCTTTCCAAGGTTTCGGAGGAATGTGGAGGCAGCAAGTTCCGCCCAAGTGCTTGTAACGATCTACCAGACTATACGGCATCGCATTCCTGAGAACTGTAATCTTCAAGCTATCGGTGTTGAAAGCAAGTTTCATTCAGAGTACCACAGTGCCCTCAGTATTTTGGACAGATGCCGTTCACTCATACTGTGGAGCTAAACTTGATAAGAGTAGGCTGCTGTCTAGAGGAAATGTTCTGGCAAACTTTTTTTTGGGCTGTATGTCATTTCTATCCTGAAATCATAAACGCTTGTTTACTTTATAAAACTAGGGTACTGCTGGTTAGTGCTTAAATCACCATATTGACTGTAAAGAAACGGAATTCAAATGTGGCTTCTCGATGGTGCCACTAATAGCTGAAAAGATCAAGGATACACTTCATACCTAAGGACATGCAGAAACATAGACGGACTTCATGTCCTCAGAATTATATCAGTATTAGTGTGCGAAGTAATGCAGTTTGTGTTGCAACAGTTTCTGCTTAATAGAAGTAATTTGTTTGTGTTGCAGCTCCTGTCCGATCCCGTGCGTGTTGAGCAAGTATGAATGAGTTGGACAGCCTGCGGCAGGAAGCAGAAACATTAAAAAATGCTATACGAGTGAGTACCTATGTAAAAACGCTTGTAGGTTCATCTCCATGCCCCCAGTACTCCAAGTGCATGAGGCCAAGGCCCAAGGGAAAGTGCAGACTGATGCAGGTGTGCTAGAATGGCATGTACGGAAAGTGTGTGATATTGATTTACTTGTGTTGGGATCTAACAGATAAACTCTTGCAGCTCAGAAGAGGCATAAAGATAAAAATATACAAAACTGTATTTTTTCTCCTGTAGTTTTCTGTTGGTATGAAATTGGTTTCACACATTATTCCAGTGGTTTCCAAAATGGGACATGCCCCCTAGGGGTGCAGGATATATTGGGGATGTTATATAGTAAAACTGAGTTTATTGTAATTCTAAAATTTTTGGACATTGGTGTTTCATTTCATACATTTGTAAAGCTTTGATAAATATTATTGATAAAGGCCTAAAATGCTTTACGCGCTCGCACAAAGTTAAGAAAGGTGGGGGGGGGGTCACAATGAATCTTTAGTAAGCTAAGGGGGTGCATTGTACGAAGTTTGGAAACTACTGTGTTAAGGGAGGGGAAGAACATAGACTGGTAGTATTCAAGAACAGGGTGTTGAGGTGAAAATTTTGGCTTGAGAGAGAGAGAGAGAGAGAGCGAGAAAGTAATTGGTAGATGGAGAAAATTTCACAATGAGGAACTTTTAGTCAGATTTTGTAAGGAGGATGACATGGGCCAGGCATGTAGCAGGCATTGCAGAAAAAAAAAGATTAAATGCATGGCAAAGTTTTGGTTGGAAAATCTGAAGGAAAAAGACAGTTGCAAGACCTAGGCAGATATGGGAGAATGTATTAAAATTTATCATAGAGAAATAGGATGCAAGGGTGTAGACTGGATTTGTGTGACTCAGGATAGGGACCACTCGTGGGCTCAAGTGAGCATGGTAATAAATCTTTGGCTTCCAAAAAATGTTGAGAATTCCCTGAATACCTGAACAGCTGTGGTGTTCTCAAGGACTCTGCTTCATGTAATTAGGTAAGGTTCAGTGTGATTTTTTTGTTGTAATTTTACCCGCAGACTGTGTTGTGAATATCTGTTACATATTTAAGTGTCAGTTATTGTTGATCCATGGTATTTGAAGAAGCCAGTAAAAGCTGAGTAAATCAAAGAATTTTCCACCTTTTGCAGAACCTGAAGGTTTGTTACCATGTTCCTATGAAACCCGAGGCTGTGTGTAATGATTCTTTTTGACGAAATTGGTGCAGCGGTAATGTTGTACAGTTTTATCCAACATGAGCTTGGTTTGAATCTCGGTTGGGATACTGTCTATGCTTGTGGGGTTTCTTGGTTTTTCTCAGTCCCAGCTGCTGGGATAGTATGTCAGGCCATGAATGTTCCCTTCATGGTTCTTTAGAGTTCATCCTGAAGTCTGTCTACTCTGTGAACCAGGTTACCCCATGCTCTGTGCAGACAACCTTCTGGAAGGAAGTTTTTGTATATGTATGTTTGAATTTTGCGTTAACCCTTGAATAATGAAAATGGGAATCTAATGAATTTCTGATGGTGTAATGATATACATTACTGACTCCCCATTTCTACAATAGATGCCATGTCGTACCCGATGCCACTGACACAGTCCTAAAATGAACTGCAACCAAGACCCATAACATGGTGCTATTTTACAATGAAGAGTTGTTAGCTCCCTTCTCACTCTCCAGACTGGAGGACTACCCGTGGCCTCTTACTCAGTATACTCACTGCTGCCCCACACTTCTCCATCCTGATGACATGACATGCCATGCCATGCCATGCTGTGGTTACAGGGAACCCAGTTGGTGTAATGAGGAACACTCCTCCCCCTTCTGGAGATCCCACCTTCAGACCTCAGCTCGGAGGTGACCATTCTGACTTAGGTTTTCATAATCATCATGTGATTGGAGGCTCAGTAATATTTTAAGTTGAAGGAGCATTGTTAAATGAAGAGGTATTCATAATTTCAGTTTGATGTATTTCTAGTTTTGTGGTTTGTTTAGATCCACTTTTATTTAGTGATGGCAGGCATGAACTCCACAGAGAATGCAGTTTACTCCTTTGTAGCCCCAACTTCGTCTAAGTATTTCAGAATTAATTTCTCACCTCAGGGAAAATACCCAGTGTCGTCATAACAAAATCCAGTTGGCTAATGCTGTTTTAAGGAAATAATCACCTTCTGTTTTAAGACTCGTGCAAAATAATAATGCACTGTGTGGGCAAAATGCAGAGTTCTTTTTAACATTAAAGAAGGTGGTATATATAATTACCACTGTACCATGATGTAAAGAATTACAGTATGTGGGAAGTCAGTAGAGATGTTGCACGCAGGCCGCCCAGAGTCGACAGAGCAGGAGCAATGACTGGATGGACAGACACCGACGAATATTGTTAATTTATCCTTCGCATGTTGCAGCACTTGCAGAGGGTGTAGGGGTGGGGGTTGTGTTAATTTGACACACGTGTGGGGAACAGTACAGAAATCAATACGGGCTCCAGCAGCATTGATCTGATGAAACTGGGAGAGCAACAGTGGTCTGAGTTCATCATGGTTTTCCTCAGCTTCTGTCCATGAGCCGATTAAATCAGTACAGGCTCCAGCAGGATTGGTGTGATGGAACTGGGAGCAACAGTGGCCTCAGTTAAACGTGCTTTTTCCTCAGCTGCTGTCCATGAAGCAGTTAAATCAATTCAGAATCGAGCAGCACTGATGTGATGAAACTTGGATCAGTAGTGTTCTGATGTGCCATGGTCTTCCTCAGTTACTGTCTGTGAAGAAGCTGTTTCAGTGTATGCCTTATTAGTGCTGTGATCTTGAGATATTGGCTGTGTATAAATATTTAGTTGATTTGAGTAGAAAACTTTATCTAAAACCTTCTCGTCAAGTTGTCTCTGTCAGTGTTAAGGTAAATCCAGTGTATCGTAGATCTCCATCAGTACGGTCGGCCCTGATGTTGGAGACTGAGGAGATCTCTGAAACATTGGCTTTAACTGTGTAAGATTTGAGGCTTTCACGGCGGTGACTATGAAGAAAGCAGTCTTCTGGGATTTGGCACCGTGTATATGTGGTGTNGGCTTTAACTGATCATTGATTTGGCCCATCTCCGGTTTATTTGCCGTCAGAGCTTCAGCTCATAGGATACAGTCATGTTAGTGGTTGTGTTGGCCCAGTCATTCGCTGAGCTACTTTAATAAAAGGGTCTGACTGATAATAACATATATTTTACTGTCTGTATATAAGTTTTGGGGGTTTTCACTGTGTCTGATGTTCAGATTGTTGTCTTTTGGGTTGCAACGCAGTGTATTGCTGTAGGACCATTCTGCCTTCATCCTCAAGTTTGAAGGGAATGATGTGTATGGGCATGTTGGAAGGTAGATGGCTCCTCGTCAGATTTGGGGGAGGCAGTGGGGAAATGTGGCCTGGTCTGGGCCAGTAAGAATGGATATTCTCTGTCCACAACCCCCCCTCTTGCTGATCTGTGTGACCTTTCCAAGATACCTATACAACCTGACCACATTATCACCCGACCGACATTGATCCTGAAGATGGAAGCGGCATGTTCTCTGAAAGGTTGGTATCCGCCTGCATTGCTACATGGCATTTGCTAGGTACATCCCAGAGAACTCTTGTGTGGGCCTTGTCACATTTAAGTTCCATTGCAGCACTAGTTCCACAGAGTGGCCAATTTGGACCCCAACTAAATGGAAAACTTTGCAGTGCAGGTACCCACGACTTGTGGGCACCGGGTTGCCAAGGCGGTGTTTAGAATTTTTCTTTTGTTTTTTATACTAACGCATTCCATCTTCCTGCTTCTAGACCGTGCTGTTACATGAGGTTACTTTAATACTCAGAGGTAATATTGAAGATCATTTCATATGTTCTGCCCTTACACACTGTCATATTGTAAGTGCATGAGTGTGACTGTAGATGGAATTTGGTTTGGTAATTGGATATATTGAGCTCTTAACAGAACATAACTACAAATGGCTGACAGTCTCGCCGAGTTACACACTGCAGAGATCACTGTAACCACAGCACACATAAGGACTTCTCAGTTTGCTGTTTCTTCACCTGTCATTGCCTGGTGACAGATCCAAACAATGTCCTCTGTTATAAAAGATAAAACAACTCCGTCCAGTGTGACTGTTGAAGTTTTTACCACTTCAATTCTTAACACCTTTGCATGTTTCGGTCCTTATAGACCATCATCAGAGGGACATCAGTATTCTTTGGAAACCACACACTGAATGGAGTTGTTTTATCTTTTATAATATTGTTAGTGTGACGGACCAGCATGAAACAAATCAAATGTCGTCTGCTTTCATGTTCACGTTCTTACAAGCTGGTGACTGTCTCATAACTAACTCATTGCTCCATCTGCCCTGCTTTATCATCTCAGCACAGACCACACGGAAAACATTGTTCTTGTGGTGTTGTATCCAAATTTTGCTGTGGAAACAGTCTTGTTTGTGAAGCCTTTCATTTGCTTATCTTGGCCTTGCCCAGCAATCAGTCTGCATGCCACAATATCTCACTCCCTTGTTTCTCCCTTTCTTTCTCTTCATATTAAATTCTCTGACCCTCCTCTCCATTCTCTTTTGTTTGCCACTATGCGTCTTCCCCAGGCTTCACAGGATCTGGCTACTGTATATGTATAGATGTATCAGTTACCTTTCTGTTAATGAAACTGAGAAAGTTTCTCACGGGAGGTATTTTTTTTTTAATTCTAGCTCCTAGTTCTTGTAGGTGGCTCTTAAATTTATAGGACATTTGAGGCACTATGCTACAAGCCTAAAGGTCATGTGTTTGATTCTCAATGAGTTCATTGGAATTATCAGTTGACCTAATCCTTCCAGCCGCACTATAGCCCTGGGGTCGATTCAGCCTCTAACAGAATTGAGTACCAGGAATGTGGCCAGTGAGTAACCATACCACTATCTGTGAGTGGATTGTCAAGAAAATATAGGAGCCTCAACGTCCCACAACTCTATGGGTCTCCACAGCCTGTTACAGGGATAGCTGTACCTTTGCTTTGCCCTTTTTCCCTTACTTTATTTTTTAGTAGGCAGTCACACAGTTTTGAACCTTGGGATTAATTTCACTGGCACCATCTCCAGAACCTGCCACTGTCCTAGTTAATCCACCCAGATTTCTAGTACAAGCTTTAGTTGAGGATTGGGTTGTGTGCGTTCTATGAAGGAGACAAGAAATATACATATAGATGGTTGTCAGTAAATGTGTGAAGGAAGATGTTCCTTCTTACATCATTTTTTTTCTCTCGGTTGTATGTCAGCGAGTGCATATCACAGGCAGTCTACACAGTGCAGTTGTTATTATATGTACCACCTGATTTAATATTGTGAAGTATAGACCTGTTGCTGAGCAGTGACTCTGTAAACAACAGCTGTTGCTGTGCAGTAAGCGAATAAATAAAACCTGTTTCAGTGGTTGAGGTATTGTTGGACTATAACAATGGAAACAGTGTACTGAAACACAGGATAATTCGAGTTCTAGAGTAGTTCAGTTCAGTTGAGTGAAGTGAAGTGAAGTAGCTGGTTGTTCAGTTGTCAGTTGGAAGTCAGCCTGTGGATAGAAGGCCAGGAGGTTTGTGTGAAATGCCCACCAGCCTGGCACACAGTTATTTGAGCTGTCAGTTGACAGAGTTTGCACAGGAGGCTGTGACAAGAGGACCCGAGTGCGGGAAGCTGACGCATCTCTGTCAGTGTAGGCCATTGCCAAGAAATGGCTAGTAGAGACTGCAGTAGACAGAGGACACTTAGTCTGTGTGTGTCAGTGATTTATCTGTAAAGTGTAGTTCCGAGTTGTGTGTACAAGTGGTCAGTAAATCTGTTCACCAATGCAAACCCCATCTGTAGTCACACACCTCTAAATACATGACAGTATAGAGACACTCTGAATTGTTACCACAGAATGATAACAACAGCTGTATCCCTAACATCATAAGTGGTTGTTAAGTTTATTAATGGAGACATGACGTATTTCCCATGAGGTAGCTAATGAGTATACAAATATAATTTAGATCAGCAACTGGCAGCCTTTTACGTCCTGCTTGCCGCACATCATTTTGTCAAGACGAAAGTATTGTACTCCCATCATAGTAAAAACTCTGCTGCTCTTTCAAGAAATGTGTTTTCTCAGTTATGTACATATCAGTGTTACATTCTCAGAGCGAGGTCCCCGGGAACTTCACGTGAGATTTGTGTCACTGTACACATCTGTTACCAGCCTCTGAGGTGTGTCATAGCCTTGACCTGGCACCACATTATCACATCCTTGGCTAGTTAAGTTAGTTTACTGATCATGTCCCAGTGAGCCAGACTGCAGGTCCTACCACTGAGAAGAGCAGCTTTAGATGAATGTCAGGCTTCAGGCATTAATTGAGTGCATCTCATGTTTCAGGATGCAAGGAAAGCGGCATGTGACACGAGCCTGGTGCAGGCGACCAGCAACATGGAACCCATTGGTCGGATACAGATGCGCACGCGGCGGACACTCAGGGGCCACCTTGCCAAGATCTACGCCATGCACTGGGGTTCAGATTCAAGGTAAAGAGGAGGTGGATTGTGAACTTGGTTGACTTCCTGTTTGTGCATGGCCAATCATTACTTCCTTGCCTGTGCAGCCAGTAGTTTGATTTATTCGACTTGCTGCATGCTTGCCCCGTGTTCACTGAACAACACTGTTGTTTGATATCACAGTGAAATGTATTCACAGTGTTCCCTAAAGTTGTTGGTGTCTCCTTTACTTGTGCTTGAAACATTGCTGTAATATGTTTGTACAGTGGGGCTGCTCTGACTGCAGACTGCAAGGCCTGTATATATCTCTCACTGTGGGAACTAGCATACTTCAGTCAGTATTGTGACTTGGCTGCAGCCTGGATGACCTAAGTTCAGGGTTCGATTCTTGGCAGAGTGAAAGAGATTTTTCTCTTCCGTACAGCATCCAGACTGACTGTGGGGCCCATCCAGTCCTCTGCCCAGGGGATACCAGAGGCTCCTTGTGCAAGGGTGAGGCAGTTAGACTGTGAACCTAAGCACTCACCTCCACTGTCCCATATATTTTTGTGGTGTGGTGCTTGATTAATCCGGCACAGGGTTACGTTTACTCCCCCCCCATACCTGTATTAATTTGCCATACATTATAACAGCAGTCTGTGCAGTTGGACGTGGTGTCTCCTGGGTATGTAAAATAGACTTCGTGTTCTGCTCGGACACAAAGTTAGATGTCATTTTGAAGTAAACAGTCATCTGTCCTCTCTTGTCTGTGCAACTTAGCACAGTAGGGCTCCACAATTGTATGGTTGGAAATGAAGTGATTTACACTTTGAATTCTGGGATAGGCCGTGACCACTTTTTGCCACATCCTTCTCCCTATATTGTTGTCATACAGTTTCTTATTTGACAGTTTGAGTAGTTCTACTAGCCCTTTGAAGCACAAAGTTCATCTGAATATTATAAAAATTCTTCCCCTACTTAAACGAACACATGCTGCCTGCCCATTACAAACACTACTCAGTTGATGTTGTATAGGGAGACCTTTGCTGTTTGCTGTGAGAATCATATGAAAGTCTGGGCAGAATGCTCTACCAGATGAACCTGCTTGATATTATGACAGCAAGGTATTTCTTGGTAAAGTGAGCATCATGTGGTTAGGAAGAGTTTCAGCTTCTGCTGGCTGATCATTGATTTCTTTCAATACTAATGCCATTACTTTGTGAGGTTAAAATTTGGCTAACAACCGTGTAGTGCCAGAAGATTTAAAATTTCCTGTTCCCAAATGGTGAACAGTTACCCCTGAGTTGAAATTTGACTGTACAAGTGTGAGATTTAAATTATCGTTTTCTTGGATGATAAATAATCATTCCGAATTTAAAATTTGGGCACCTGGCCTTTACTGCTAAGGTAGTTTGGAATTCCCTGCTCGTGGACAATGAAGTGTTGAAATCTAGCCGATTCCCAGGCGATAAGCTGTTGCATCCACCTGGCCTGTACTGCCAAGAGATGTGAGGTTCCTGGATGCTGAAGGTTGATGTCTCTGTAATGAATGTTACATATTATTTTGGCTGGTTTTGAGGATACGTTACAAAATGCTGTCCCTGTCCTTGTTTTCACTGCTGTTCTTGTTTATATTCCTTTTAACAGATATGGATTAAGGTAGATGTTAACGACCAGTATGCAGTGTGTACCATTTAAAGTGCATCTCTAAATCATGTACTGTGATACAGAAATGAAGTCAGAAACTGTTTCCCCTGCCCATGTAATGAGCTTGCCTAAATGTCCCCCTTAATGCTGTGAGTGTCAGCCTAGTTGCAAGGCTGCTCTCAGACGCTCTGCAGATGTGAGTATGGTGTTCTTAGCTCTCGCAGGGGGTTTGTGCCGAGCTTGGTTTGTATACCATGTCTTGGGTTGGTGAAGGTGCCCAGGGATGGAGACTAGTTCTGTCGATTGGGCCCACCCAGGCAGGTTTTAGTTGAAGATGTAAACAGGATCCAGGCTCCAGAACATTGTGTTTCAAATACAAACAGGGAGATGAATAAAGTCCAGAAACACAATATTCATGAGCATGCTGCATGCACAAGCAGAGTGTGTGTTCTTTCTTGAACAGTACTTCACATTGAAGGGGTTTGGTGCTGTTCATGAAGCATTTATCACTGTGTACCCTGAACAGGATATACAGAATAGGAGAGAAAACTGACTGGTAACATACATAGGAAGTGCATATGACAAGTAACATGTCCACTGTCAAGTAGTTTTGGCGTGGTACACTCCACAGTGTTGAAGGGACACTAGCCTGATGGTCATAGGAATCTTTAGAAGCTTGTATATACTGTTGTAATTTGTGTTGCAATTTAAATAGTACACCTGTATTAATTAATATAAATACAAGAGAAATTGCATAGCCAGTGTTGCATGATTATCGACAACTGAAATTGAGACTTATTCTGATTTTCTGTTGTGTCACATGCATGGACAGACTTGAATGTTTATTCACAGTGCACAGAAAACAGAACATCCAATGCCCACATAACATATGTTGTTAATAGGTAAAACTGTCACTTGAGCACCTTTGCAGTTGGCTTACCTCCCAGCCTACCATTTGTAGCCATTCATTCACAGTTGAGTGTATAGCATACAGTCCGCACATGTCAGGGTATCGCAAAAGATAACTGTGTGCATCATCTGGTGACAGAGACTTTCAGAAAGACATTTTGGATCTCATCAGAGCAGTCTTACATGACCAGACTCCTCTGTCATAGTTTGGTCAAAGCACCTGTAAGGGATGAAGACTTTGCAGGAGCGAAGGTTTTGAAGTAGAAGTCTTCTGGGATGTTACACCATGTGTTTGATGGTTAGGGAGCAGCATTTTAGAGGAAAGTGCTGGTACCTACCTACCTGAGTATCCATGCATATACTGTATTTAGTATCCTTGTTTTAGAAGAATTTGTGAATAAGATCACAGGAGATCCTTAATGAGCAAGGAATGCATTGAAGATCTGTGTGGTTGGATGGGAAGACCAGATTCTGTTGTGTGTGATAATCACAGGGGACAAGGTGTTATTCTTTTGTGTAACAGTAGACAGATAAGTTTATCCCTGTAACAGACTGTGGGGGTTCATGGGGTAGTGAAACATCGAGGCTCCCACTTATTTTAGACAATCGGCTCACAGATGGTAGTGAGATTGTCAGCCTTACATTGACCCTAGGGCCATAGTGTTGCTGGAAGGATTAGGTAAATTGAAAAATCCAGTGACCTTGCCTGGAATCGAACCCATGACCTTCTGGCTTGTAGTATAGAGCCTCAACCAATTACACTACTGTGTGCCCCTCTTGTGTGTCAGTATGTTTGTCATACCTGTAGCGTTTCCACTCATTTTAGTATAAAATAGTTGAGTGCACTGTAGTTATTGACGCACGGCTGACGGGCAGGCAGGGGCCGCCGGGCCGGAGTCTCCCTCAAGTAATGGGCAGTTTGATGCAATGCTTTAGTGTTTGCAGGAACTTAGTGTCTGCCTCACAAGATGGGAAGCTGATCGTGTGGGACAGTTACACCACCAACAAAGTGCACGCCATTCCCTTGAGATCAAGCTGGGTCATGACCTGTGCCTATGCCCCCTCTGGCAGTTACGTTGCTTGTGGGGGGCTCGACAACATCTGTTCGATATACAGGTATGTAGAACTGTACTGATGCAGATTCTCATGTGTTCATGAGGGACATGTCACAATAAGTTAAATGTAAAATAAAATACATTTTATCCCATAATGAAGTATGTTAAACAAAAACTGTTGATTCTGAAATTAGTGACGAACATGTGCGGTATGTTGGTAGCTTGAAGACGAGAGAAGGCAACGTGCGTGTGAGCCGAGAGTTGCCGGGCCACACGGGCTACTTGTCCTGCTGCCGCTTCCTGGATGATAATCAGATAGTGACCAGTTCAGGAGACATGTCATGGTGAGATGCAGATCCCCCAGCTGTGTCAGTCTCTCCTCCCCTGCCCCACTTACCACTATATTTTATCCGGCTCTTGGATGTGGGCAGTGTTCCTTGGCCCTGAGGATGGAGGCAGTGCAGCACTGCCCACATCTACATAAAACCAAAAGAGCTGAAGCAGTATCAACAGTGAACCTCTGCAGAAACCTCAAACCAGTTGCTAATTGCTTCTCTATTTCTTTCTTCTCCTTCTGCCCATTTTCATTCATCTCATTCTCAATTAATTTATTTTCTGTTTCCTTCACAATTATGTAAGCAACATGACTGTGATATACTTGAAGTCTGCAAGAATGCATCTTTTAGCCTCATCATGCCTTTCTGCCCACGTGTAACAACTTGGAATCCACTTAGTGGATATTAATTATATTTAATATTGTTGGGCTTTACTAATATGTAGACACATTCAAGTTTTTGGTAGAGTTGGATGGCAGTATGGAGATGTACTCTAATCTTGGGCACAACTTGCCAAATACCTATTATTGCAATGAATTTATGAACAGAAGTTGCAGATAATAATGAAACAAATATTTTATGCCCAACATACTTCTGAGATAATAAAACAGATGAGTTGACTGTACAAACAAATTTTGTTTGCAGCGCATTGTGGGATATTGAGACTGGTCAGCAGTGCACCTCGTTTATGGGGCACACGGGTGATGTGATGTCCCTCTCTCTGTCGCCTGACATGCGCACTTTTGTGTCAGGGGCATGTGATGCCTCTGCAAAGGTGAGATGGTTGTGTGCGCGCACTTGGTACGTATGTATCCATAGGGAACATAAGAACAGACTATAATGCTTATTGTCTTTCTGTTGCAGCTGTGGGATATCAGGGAAGGTTCATGCAAACAGACATTCCCGGGTCATGAGTCGGATATTAACGCCGTTACTGTAAGTTTAGCATGCATGCTTCCATGGGAGTATATTATTAAAAATGACCTCAGAGAAGTTTGTTGTGAAATATGTATGGCATTGAGCTGGCTCATGTTATTTTCGTGTGGTCTTTTGTGAACATGATGAGTCCATGGGTCCCTAAAGAACAGGGAATTTTTTAACCCATTTCATAAGTACCTGCTGTCTGAGTGGATTAACTGAAATTAGGCGAGCATCTGATGAACCGCGCTGAGTCAGAAATCTCCTAGTAACACCTGAACACAGTGAATAAGTGACCCAGTTCTTGGCTGTACTGGCTGCCCTGGTATGGCCATCATCCAAACACTATATATCAGAACAGTAAGAAACAGGTGTTTATACCTGAACAAGGCAATCCCATGGGTCACCTGGTTTGTTTCTGGTTTTGTACTGGGTTCAGCCCCAGGGTAGCACATGCAGAATTTGTGGTGGACAGGGTGGCATTTGGACAAGTTTTTCTGCATCTTTTTTTTATGTTTCCCATATCAATTATCATTCTGCCACCGCTCCTCCACACTCGCTTGTCATCATGGATGGGTACAGTAGGTATGTATGGGGTCCAGACTCACATCATATGGATTTTTTGTTACCAGTTCTTCCCAAATGGATATGCATTTGCGACGGGGAGCGATGATGCTACATGCCGCCTGTTTGACATCCGTGCAGACCAAGAACTAGCCATGTATTCACATGACAACATTATCTGTGGCATAACATCTGTAGCATTCTCCAAGTCAGGTCGGCTCCTGCTCGCCGGCTATGATGATTTCAACTGCAACGTGTGGGACTCCATGAAAACAGAGCGTGCAGGTATTGTCACACTTTTGTTTATTTAAGAATGACTATTAGGTTTCCTGACTTCTCAGCACATCTGCTGATTTCACCCTCTCAGAAACCCAAAAGACAGAAAAGGGGATTAAGGTTTAATGTTCTTTGTAAAATTTTAGAATGAGCATTGAGATGATGAAGGTCGGCATCTGACAGGGCCATAGCTGCCTCCTTTATAGGCAAGAATGCCAGTGGTTTTTATGCAGAAGTCAAAGCAGAAGTTAGCTCAGTTCTCCAATAATAACAAAAATTCTGTCATCACACCTTTGTTCACAAAGAAACTGCACCTGCTTAACCCTTTCGCGCGGTCATTTAAATTCCGCGGCCGTCTCTCCGGCGGTAATATATTCAGCCGTCCATTTAAATTTTGCTCGAAAATGATTTATTCATCATTGTTCTTAAATTATATGAGATAGGAACATGAAACTTTCACTAAAATGATCTTAAAAGTTGGTTTTATAACCTTACCTTATAATATGAGCGCCCTGTGTCTCGGCAATGGAAGCAGGTTGTTTAGTATTTGAGCAGTGAATGGTACGCCTTGAAGGATGAAACTTTCACTAAAATGATCTTAAAAGATGGTTTTTATAACCTTACCTTATAATATGAGCGCCCTGTATCTCGGCAATGGAAGCAGGTTGTTTAGAATTTGAGCAGTGTAAGGAAGGCCTTGAAGCATTCGTCTAACCCAACGGTGCCCCACATTCACCGCTCCAATATTGTGTATCTTTTCTTTGGCCCTTTTTTTTAACCACACATCTGTGCGGCCTTGCCTTCTTCCCCGTGAGGGGTATAGTGCAAGGAAATGTCTTGAAATGTCTTTCCGTGACCCGTTTAGTTGCCAGGTCAGCTGTAGTAAATTCAACGTTACGAGTTATCATAACAAGGGGTTGTTGCTATGCCTTTGATATTCCATCCATTTTGGTGGCAGTAGATGTCGTAGGGGTGACCACAGAATTCATGAAGTTATTCTAAGAACTGGCTGGTATGTAGTGCACGAAAGCAGAGCTTAGCTGGC